CTCAGACTTTTATTACGTTGCCTTTTTATAAATAGCTGTTATTATCAAGTGAGCATCTCCATGACTGCTGCTTGCGCGTTTGTTAGGTAACAGGTTTTAATCAGTGACCATCTTTGCTGCTTCTGAAATACAATTTTTGCCCTACACTTCTGTATATCAGCTTTATGCAGTTGATCTACACTACGGCCTTCTCTATCTCCCTTCCCTTGCACTCTCCCGGCTCGATACTCATAAAGCCGATCATGTGTCGATTGACGAACGCGCATGGCTTATGTTCCTGCTGAACGGAATGGATGTGAAGCAGACTAATGCCCTGTTCTATCCACGACTATACCCTGTGGTAAGTCCCTTCGCACGCACGAATGTGTTTGTACTTTATCTGGTTTTATTTCACGTGTTTTCCACTTCAGTTTGACGTGATGAATGCATGTTAAAAGCAATTCCTTTGAGAATAACTTTACAACTTTGCAACAAACAGGGGGAGAAACAACGAACTCCAACTCGAGACCATGTTTATCTAAAGCCTCTAGCCGTCACCAATCAATCTTGAGCTCCGATCTGGAGTTCAGAGAGTTACCCACAGGTGACAAATGAAATGTGCATTCCTCTTGCAAGATTCCGGTATCTGAAAGTCAAAGTCGAAGTTTTATTATGGGAAATACTTACAAGCGGTTGCTTTTCTAGTCCCATAGGATTTGGCACAGATAAATCGGTTCACAGTTCAGACAAAGTAGATGGATGTCACAATTTGTCCTTTTTTCGTGCTTCTACGGATGTTCAAATTTAAGACTTCAAAGATTCATCTAGTTTGTGCTTGATCGAATCGATTGTGGGCGCAGAGACAACGTGTGGTGGTAGAGAATTCCAAGTATTGCACACTCCGAGGGCGAATGAATGACGCCGGCATTCTAGTCGGCATTTTTGGAGCACTAATTTGAATGAGTGTCCCCGCAGGTGAGTGTTGGGCGAAAGGGAAAAGAGTGGACGACATGGATGGTCTGGGTTGTGCATTATTTGGTATACCAAGATTAAAATTACGTTTAAACCGATCGGCCGTAGCTAAAATCCTTTTAAATCTGTGCACGAGTGGTTTACATGTGTGCGATGTTTTGCTCATTTTCTGCTATCAAATCTTCATTGCCACCTTTACTTCACATGGGCTATTTTTGCTGTCTACTTCCTGTTCCACAGCATAATCTGGCTCCAAACTTTGAGGGTAGTGTCTATCCTCCACCGGCCATCCGTTGTTCCTATGACTATCTCCAACCCGACGGAGCGTATCTGCTGGACAACGGGCTCAACCTTTTCCTCTGGCTCGGGGCCGCACTGAGCGCGGATTGGATTCAGGCCATTTTTAATGTTCCCAGTGCTCGCCAATTCGAACCGGAACGAGTGCGTAATCAGTTCGTTTGATGGCTGTAACAGTTGCCGGCTTTTACATCAGTGTACCCATTCTTTGTCACTGCGTGATCACGATTTATGTCCATGATGAAGACAGATTGTGCCTACCTTGTAGCTGTCATCAATCATCCCGCTCCTTTTCGCAGTTACCACTCCGTTCTAGAGGACCCAATGTTAGGGTCACACAAGATGTCTGTAAATGAGGTATTCACAACTGCACAATGAGATGGGCTAAAGTGCGAGTCTCATTCCCGTGCTGGGTTCCAAATCACATTTGCCGGTGAACAGGAATACACTGCAGATCATAAAAATGGACCGAGAGCATCGGGGTTCAGTGGGCCCGTGAGCTTCGCCGGAATCTCCCAAGTTTCATGCTCGATTTCACTGTGCAAGCATGCTCATGATAGTTTTCGCATCACACATACTATCGTATAACATAGGTTATAAACTGTAAATCCTGAAGCCACAAGAGATTCCGAGGAAAGCATTCTGATTGGGAGTGTTCGCCTGTGCAGTTGATTGTGTCTTCTAGAAACAGATGTCACAACAGGGCTTCCGAAATCGGACTACAGTAATGAGGTTTATAGTCCTAACCTTGGATTGCCAGTAATATTGACCGCTCGGTTGCCGTCCCCCAACTCCGCCACCGAAATCATTGTGACTGCATTCAGCTCAGATATGAGGATATACGGTTAGACACAGACTGGTTTTAACTCTTACCTCCGTACACCTCTGTGCACAGGTGATTCGTAGTCTTCACGTTTTCGCGATCGCTCACTCTGGGATATTTTTATCATCCCCGTCAATCCCTGGCCTGTTTTTCATATCATATTGTTTTCTGTTTTACAAGATCAGTATCGATTGGGAGTGTTCACTGTACAATAAGGATGACTAGATTCATTATCACTTTCTTTAGCCTCAGGGTGTGGTAATCCAATAATACTTGTGAACTGGCGCGATAATGCACCACGACCGTGATTAGTTTGTCTCTTGATTGTGTGCTCCGCATCACAGTTTTTTTTTACACTCATTGTTTGAAACAAGCCTGTCCTCGGCTCTCACGTGATTAACGTATCAGTCACAGTTGCTTGATGATCAATCGCTATGTGAAAAAAACTCAACCGCACGCGTTTTGCAATGTGATTGACAAAAGTTATTCTCCCTGTAATTTTGTTCAGATCTATGATCTGCCCAGATTACCGAATGAAACCTCACGCAATCTGTGCCATTTGATCGACCAAGTTCACGCGGAGCACTCGAGACACACACGGGTATGTTTCCTTTTCCGGTTTGCATTGTGGTTCACACGGTTTATTCGTTCGATCAAGGTGT